CCCTTCATGTCAGGTGATCCCCCCGTGGATGCACGCTAGAAGTAAGGCGGGCACGTTCCTCTACAGGAGGGATATTCGTCAATAGTTTTGTAAAGATAATGTACCCTTGTCCCTGTCCCTGTGCCTGGCATCACCTCACCTCGATGCCCATCTTGAGGACTCCCTCAGTTTCTGATGGGCAGATCCCTACGATTGTCCTCGCTCAGGGGGTCTGAGATGGATGAGCCCGGAGAAAATCCGTCATGCGTGGGGGGATGAGGCAGATTCGCTCAAAAGCGGTCACAGGGTCGCTCCCGGGGCCGAGACTGGCAAGTTTTCGCGCGGCGCCCAGCCGTGGCGACGCAGGGGCCCCTTTTTCTTCCTCCGACCTGCTGGCGGGAACCAATGGTGGGCCACCTCAGCGCCTTAGCCGGCTCCAACTTCGAGTCCCCTCCGCGCCCTCACCCATCACGTTCATGCCGTCGTCGTCGTCGCTGGCCTGGCCTGGACCATGCCCCAGGCAAGGGCCCCAGACCACGCGCTGCAGCACCAGGCAGAGAGCCTCGTCCAACCGTGGCGGCGCCGTAACCGGCTTGGCCCACGCACCGTGCAAGGGCCCCGGACCGCGTGCCGCATCTGCCGGCAGCTGCGCGGCCAGTGTCTAATGTCAAATTGGCAGGGAGTTCGGCGCACCTTTCCTGGGGCTTGGAGCCGTCTGGGGGGCCGAGGTGGCCCAGCACTCGTGCCGGCCAGCAGAGCGGAGGAAGAGAGAGAGAGAGAGATGTTCCCGGCACGCTACGCTCTTCCCGATCGGCATGGAGGCCGAGTCCTGCTGCAGGCAACAAAGGACAAAGGACAAAGGACAAACGATGGAATGCAAATCGTGTTAGAGCACCGGTAGCAGGCCATCCACCCTTCGACGGCTCACAAATTATGCGAGCGTCGGCGACGTCGACGAGGGCGCGGGCGTGATGGGCGCGGGGGCGGCGGGAGGTTCAAGGTCGGAGCCAGCTGAGGGGCAGGATGGGCCACCTGCTTCCAGCCGGCAGAGAGGAGGGATGAGGCCCCCCCTCGTCGCCACGGCTGGACGCGGCTAAAAAATAGGGCACGAAGAGACCTAGGAGGTGTCTGAGAACGTGCCCTGATCCTCCGCTCTTGACAGATTTTCCCTCCTTGGCCGCGGCTTGCCCTTCTCAGGCCCCCCCTGGCCGCCGCCACGTTTGAAGCAGAACAAACTCTGCATGAACACATATATGCTGGAGCCCCTGGCGCGCCCCGCACGCCATGGAGTGGTGGCCAGCTCTGGTCCAGGAAGCCCACGCTGACCTCCTAGCATGTACATGCGTGGACGATCGCTCAGGCATATTCTTATGTGGATGGAAGGTTTGGGCGCGTTGGGGCATGGGTGGGCCCGGGGGAGCGCGGAGGGTCTGCGCGGGAGGCACGAGCCTGGCCGATCGTGGCCGTGGCACGTCGAGGGGCGCCGCGCCGCTTCACCACATCTCTTGCCCGTGCTTCCTGCGATGGCTGAGCTCATCCTTCGGCGGCGAGCCGGTGGCCAAGCTAGAAGGGGCGGGCCCATCTCAGAAGGCCCGGAGGGCCTCGGGCCCTCTGAGGTGTCGAGGCCCTCCCCGAAGACACGGACGACGTCTCGGAGAGGGCCGGAGGGCTGCTGAGAAGTCCCGCTGCCTGCTGGGAAGGCTTGCTGCCTCTGCCCTCCCCCATGGGCTCGCCGCCGAGTGCTCGCGTGAAGTCGGGGATTGTCAAAAAGAATAGTCTGGGGACGATGTTTCGATTTCTGTTTTACTGTGTTTGAAGAGGCTCTGAGTCTGTGTTCTTTTTCCTCAAAAGTCCGCCTGTGCCAGCGCAGGACACGCCTCTTCGGGCACACGGCGAGTGCCGGACGAAAGGGGCGGGATCAAGCGCAGAGCCGCTCCCCGCGCGTCGCGGACCTCGGCGGCCGCAGAGCTGCCCATCGCAACGGTGGCGTCGCAGGGGGCGCCCGGAGGAGCGCAGGTCCCACGCCTCGAGCGGCGCGGCGCGCGGAAGTTCGGTCGACGGGAGCCATACCGAAGTCGGGCATGTCCCTCTACAGGAGGAAGGTTCAAACATACGTAGTAAAAAACAAGTCTGGGGACGGTTTCTCTACCATTTCTGACCATCTGCACTATTGTTGGCTACTTTTCATTCTTCGTCCAAAATCCACCTGTGGGGGGACATGCCCCACCTAAATCTAGACGCATGCTTGGCTCCCTGGCCATGCCCATCCTGAACACAGGAGCTGTGTATACGCCCTCCTGGAGGGCGTGGCGTACACTCCGGTGCTGGGTTCTGGATGGGCCTGGTCAGGGAGCAATGGGTATGTATTGATTTCGTCTGCATAAAATTCTAGACGCTTCGCGTGACCCAACAGCCCATTCAGAAACGATGCCCAGACGCGTTGCCCTGATCAGGGATGTGGAGGTGCATGCAGTGGAAGAAGAGGCTGGGTAAGACGTCGTACCCCAAAAGGGGAAGGATGGAGGAATAATCGGAGGATGAGCACGAGGATGGGAATAGGGAGAGAGGTGGAGGAGGGAAGAGGGAGGAGGAAGGAGGAGGAACATATGGATGAGTAAGATGAGGAGGAGGATGTGGAGGAGGAGTGGAGGAGGAGGATGAGGGCGAGCAGAAAGGACACAGGTCTCTTGGATTCCTCTCGGAGTCTCTTCGGAGTTCTTTGGAGAGCTTCTCGGAGTCCTCTTGGGGCGTCTTGGGGATCTCTTGGCAGTCCCGTGGGCCTCTTGAGGCGTCTTAGGTGCCTCTGGGGGGCCTCTTGAAACATTTTGTGGGTCTCTTGTGAGCCTGTTGGGGGCATATTGGAGGCATCGTGAGAGCCTCTTGGGGCCTCCTGGGCACCTCTTGGGGTCGTCGTGGGGCACCCTCCGGAGCCTCGGGGGCCATCTTGGGACCATCTTCGAAGAGATTCAGCAAAGGCGCGAGGTTCCTCAGGGTCCACCCCAGGAGGCAAACATGTGGCCAACACCTTTGTAAGAATAGTTTGGGGCTTTTCTCCGAGACCCCTTAGGTCGTCTTGGGTGGGGCCTCTTGGGGCGTCTTGGGGGTCTCTTGGGAGCCTATTGGGGGCAGCTTGTGGGCCCCTTGGGTGCCTCTTGGGGGCCTTGGGGTACCCTTGGGAGCCTCGGCGGCCATCGTTGGGCCATTTTGGAGCAGAACGATTAAAGGAGGGGAGGGGGGCTCCTCAATTAGAGCCCCCCCTAGGAGGCAATCATGTGGCCAACACCTCAGTCAAATCCATGATTCGTTTTTTTTCTCCGAGGCCTCTCGGGGCGTCTTGGGTGCCTCTGGGGGGCCTCTTGGTGCGTCTTTGGGGGGTCTCTTGGGATCCTCTTTGGGGATGCTTGTGGGCCTCTTGGGGGCCTCTTTGGGGCCTCCTGGGCACCTCTTGGAGCCATCTTGGGGCACCCTTGGGAGCATTGGGGGCCATCGTTGGGCCATTGTGTAGGAGATCGATCAACGGAGCTGGGCCCTCCTCCCACGAGGCCAAATCGTGACCAAAACCCTATGAAATCAATGATTTTGGCTTCCGCGCCGAGGTCATCTTATACGCTCCAACCCCTCGCGAACACCCCCCCTCCAAACCAAGGGGTAGGGGGTAGGGTCAAGACACCCTCCCCTCCCGCAATCCGTCTCGGTCACTTCCACCCGACCTCCCAACACATAAGTAGCACCCGAGCCTCAGCTTGTTCAGCAGTCGTCTATGTATGTTCGACAGCTACTGGGAACCGAAAACAGACCCCATGTGCGCGATACTGGGGCGAGGTGCTCCACGCGTGCCGGGCGCACCACGTGCGCCAGGGTGCGCCAGGCACCCCTGGGGCCCAAGCTTGCCCGGTACGCCATCCTTCAGCCGCGCCAGGTGCGCCACGCTCGGGGCACGCGCAGGCTGTGCCGGGCGCGCCCGCGCACGTGACAGCACCCATCGGGGAGCACGTCGGCCCCCACCGTCCTTCTCGGCGCGATCGCGACGGGGTGGCCATCACGGTGTCCAGTGGGCCTGCCCCCAGCAGGCAATCTGCCAGCACCCACGCCCTTAGTGGGCCCTTGAAACGACAGGGCCGTTTTTTTACCGGTTCCATTTTGTCGTTTTTGTTACCGGTTCCGTCGCCGTTTTTTGACCGGTTCCGGCTCCGGTTCCAATCCTGGAGCCGTTTTTTTGCCGTTTCCGGTCGCCGTTTTTTTGCCGTTTCCATTTTCAAGGGACATTTTTGGGGAAACGGTGAAAAACGGCCTTGCCGTTTCCGGGGCCCACAAAGCCCACGCCGCCTTTTTCAAAAGTTGATGCAAGGTGACCGCGGGGAGGTCGCGCGCGACAGACTTAGCCGCGAAGTGCATGTTGTGATGTGTGTCGACACGGATGGTTGTCCTGAGCACAGCATGCAATCTGAGACCTCCCCGCCGCCCATGTCAACAACACGTGCGATGTGTTCGCGGGGCCCACCAGCATGACCCAAGAAGTTGTCCCGAAGTGCATGCTGTATTGTGTTTGACAGAATGTGTGTGTCGGGGGGTGTCATTGGTCCCGGTTTCCTGCTGGTCCCCTGGGTGCGGATTTCCATTGGGAACAATGATAAACCCTTCCCCGAAGAGGAAGAAGAGTTGTTTGAAGAGGAAACGTTCTAAACCACGCCTGGAGGGCTGCTAAGACTAGATCACCTGAGCGTGCATGCTCCTCAAAAGACGAGGAAATTCGCATGTCTTCTTCGGCAGAAGGCGGCGGCAGGAAAACAAAGCTGCCTCCGCCGGCGGAAGGCCGGCAGAAGGCGGCGAAGGTGCCGGACGGCCTCAGATGGCAATTTTGGGTTTCAGAGTGTCCGAAACCCGCCTTACGATGATTTGCGTCAATATGTAATGTGTGATGACGCCGATGTTGTTCACCGGTTGCGTCTGAGGTTGTGTATCTCTCTCGTCTCCTGCTTCCCTCTGACAAGCTTCTTGCCACCATTCATTGTGCGACGCAGGAGAGATTCGACGTGCTCCATAAGCTGAACACCCCCACCGAGGAGACACAATGTACAGTTTCTTTGTCACTTGCGGACTGCTAGAAGGAATCCGTCGGACGTCAAGGAGGAGAAGGAGGCGTGGTTCAGTGACATGCATAGTTAGAACACAGGCACCAGCATCGACACTAGCAGAATGCGGAGGAGGAGGAGGAGGGGAAATTGTTAGAACGTGGCCATGCGACCGGGTGAGGAGCACAGTTGCACGTCTTGCAGTCAGGTGTTAGCGTTTTCGTTGACGTCGGTTCTAGTACCATCTTGCCAGTTCGGAAAAAGGCCGCTACTAGATTTGCGTTGTAGCGGAGCCCTCGCTTCGCCCCACGGGTTCCGGAGCAGAGATGGCAGCGGCGGCCGCTGCGGCGACCCAAGTGGACCCCTGCAACAACGACCCCAGGTTCAAAGTATCGTTTCATGAAGTACGCGGAACTTGGCACAGTCTAGGCACAAACTGATTCGCGGAACGGTGCAACGCCGGCTACGAAAACGGAGACTGCAGGTGTGTTATCATGCCCCCAATGCCAAGCACGAAGCGATGAGGTTACTCGAGCGCAGCGCCACGCGACACTGGCGCCACGATGGGGCATTCACGAACATGTCGATTCATTTCAAACTGCATTTTTTTCTGATCTCGGGCATCAGCCGCAACATATATTTCTCGGGTTGCCGAAACAAGTTCAGGGAGTGGAATGAGAAGGTATTTAGTTAACTCGCTTGCCCAGGTGAGGCACGGCTATCAAAGAATAGTCATGTTTTTGAGCAGCACATCTGAAATCATTGATGGCGCGTTACCTGACAACGAAAACGACGATTTGATACAGATCGTGCACGGAGGGTTAATTTTGAACAAACACACAAAAGTACCAATTACCAAGAAACAGGAAAATGCTGCTAAATGATCATATGAGTTTGATGAAAACGATTCCGCAAAGCTGGGCGATAATGTCTGGATGTTGGTGATGACGTGTTGGAAATCGACGGCCCACGGGAAGTATTCAAGGTTTTGCACGAGGGGGATGAATATACATATATATGTATATATAGAGAGAGACATACATACATACACACACCGATGTCTATATATATATATATATAGATCAATGCATGATAGATCTCGGCGGTGTTTGGTGTCACGCTGCCACACGGCATGAACTCGGCCTCAGATTCGTACAAGAACCCAACACGGTTGACCACGTGGTGACCAAGCTTGAACATTTGAGTGCGTTGGTATAGCCCTTCGAAAATTACGGGAATGCGTACTCGCTATCTTCGCCGTTTATGGCTGTTTGTTAAACTATCATAATGACCCACGCAGGTGGTTGGTCTCACGACTGGCAGCAGGACTCTTCAAGACGCCATAGCTGCTAACTGCGAACACCTTTTGGTGAACTGTGGGGATTGGCCAGAAAGAGATGACCTGACGCCCAGTTCGGAAAAAACGGGTCCATGGAGACCGGCCAAGTTAACGATGAAGACACGGGCGAGCGGGACACAAACGTGAATGAGTCTTGTCATCATGGCGAAGGTGGAAGGTGGTGGAGCTTGAACGGGGACGAGTGGACAAGAAGGCGGCACGCACGAAGTTCGCAAAAGGAAAAGACAAGGGCAACGGGCGCACGTGTTCCAAATATGGAGGATATGGGCACGTTGCCAAAGTTTGCGTCACGTAAGGAGACACCGAAGGAAAAGGAGGTGGACGGACATTGACTGTGCCAGATGCAAGAGGGCATGTCAAGCAACAAGTGGAGGAACATTTACGTGGGGGTTGCATTTGGTAAAGCCGTGGGGTCGATTCCGTGTGCAGTGGCACTATCATTTGGACAGCAGACTCGTACATCATGGTGATGCGTGGATCAGTGGCGTTAGGATGACAAGTAGTTATCATCTCGGTGTTGGTTGTAGTATCGCGATAAGGAGCGATGCGAGTGCGGCCAATGCTATTGCGACCTGGAGAGGACTACGAAAAAGAAGACGCGGCGAGGCTGGCCCGTTTCGGCTACATAGGAAGGTACGACGAATATATATATATATATATATATATATCAAAGTGGTCGAAGTAGAAGCTCATGAGGACCTTCCAGACGCTCTGGCCAAACCTGATAGCAGAGACGATCTGTTTAGGCGCACGTGCGGTGCACCAACAAACGAGTTGCTTGTGGGAGGCGACAGATGGTGCCCGCTACGGAGTATCATCGAAGCCATATAGTTGTCAGCATCGTGTGGCGCGTTGGCGGAGATTTGAGCTCAGGATCGGTTGAGATCCAAGCGCTCGTCTACACAAGGCATCTGCTGTTAACCAGTATGCGGGACCTTGTGCTTTACGACACCCAAGCGTGGCGTGTCGCGTGTTAGGGGGCCTTTGCACGATTGCGCCCAAACAGTAGCAGCTTTCTATTTGCGCCAGTTGCGCACTTACTTGCTTTAGTTTACACTTAGACTGACTAGAAAGGAATATCGGCTTTAGCGTACTTGTATTTGTGCTTTCCGTTTCCAATGTGCTCCCTTTGTATTTTTTCACCCGTCGTTTTCGCCGGCCTTTTTGGCCGAGGGGGGTGTTGGAACATGGTCATGCGATTCGGTGATTTGTGTGGGAGACACAGTCGCGCGTCTTGCAGTCAGCAAGTGTTAGCGCTACCGCTGGCACTGGGATCAAGAACTATCTCGCTTTCGCAGAAAATTACTTCAACGTCGACCCCAACTATGAACGCGCGAAGCACAACTGGCCCACAGAACCTGCAGAGGCTCCACGCCCCTCCAGCTGGGCACCATCCTCGCGAGGGTCGATTTCCGAGGGGCCAAGGGGCCCGACCCACAACTGGCCCACGGAGCGGGCAGAGGGCTTCAGCCCCTCTAGGTCGGGGGACGAAGTCTATACATATCCACTGCTCCCTGGCCAGGCCCTTCCTGAACCCAGGAGCTGTGTATACGCCCTCCTGGCCAAACCAGGAGGGCGTGGCGTATACACAGCTGCTGTGTTCAGGATGGGCCTGGCCAGGGAGCAGTGGATATGTATAGATTGCGTCGCCCTATCTAGGGGCGCACAAGTTTCGTAAGTTTCCGAGGGGCCAGGGCGCCCGAGCCACAATTGGCCTCTGCGGAGCCGGCAAAAGTTTCCTGCTCCTCCGGGCAGGGGGGCAGCACCTTCCTCAGGATCGCTTTCGTTCTCCGAGGGGCAAGGGCTCCCGAACCACAATTGGCCTACGAAGCCGGCAGGTGGCTTCAGCCCTTTCAGAGCGGCATATCTTCGTCAGAGTCGCCACTTTCCGAATGGCCAGGGCGCCCGAACCACAAATGGCCCATGTGGAGCCAGCAGAGGGCTTCAGCCCATCCAGAGAGGCACCATCTTCGTGAGGGTCGCCACTTTCCGAAGTACCAGGGCGCCCGGCCCAAAACTTGCCTGCAGAGCGGGCAGATGGCTTCAGCCCCTCCAAAGGGAACCAACCTCGTGAGGGTCGCCACTTTCCGAGGGCCAGGGCGCCCGACACAAAATTGGCTTACAAAGCCAGAAGAGGGCAGCATCTTCCTGAGGGTCGCAGCTTTCCGAGGGGCCAGGGCGCCCGAACCACAACCGGCTTGCAGAGCCGGCAGAGGGCTCCAGCTCCTCCAGGAAGGAACCATCCTCGTGAGCGTCGCCACTTTCCTAGGGCGCCCGACCCAAAATTGGCCCACGAAGCAGGCAGGGGGCTTCGGCCACTCCAGAGGGGAACCATCCCCGTGAAAGTCGCCATTTCCCGAGGGCCAGGACGCCCGAGGCACAATTGGCCCAACAACAACAGCACCATCGACAACAACAGCAAAAACAGCAGCAACAACAACAACGACAACAGCAGCAGCAACAACAACACTGACACCAACGACAACACCAACAACAGCAACCACGAAGAGAGCAACAGCAACAACCACATACCAACTTACACCAACACCAACCACACCAACAAGCACAACAACAACAACAACAACAACAACACAAACCAACACATCGCAACACCACTAACAACAACACCAATCACAACACGATCAATGACAGCATCAACAACAGCAACAGCAACAACAACAACACCACCATCAACAACACAATCATCAACAACAACCACACCATCCACAACAACATCATCAACAACAAGAGCAGCATCACCAACGACGACAACATCAATAGCCTAAACGACAGCAGCAGCAACGACAACAACACCGACAACAACACTATTAGCATCAACAACAGCAACCACGCCATGTGAAGGGCGAGTCCGGCATAGATCTTCACGTGAATTACTATGGCCAGGCAAAACCATGTGCATATTTGGGGGAAACGGTTGCTGCCAAAGTTTCAAGCATTGGATGGAGGGGCGGGGAGGGACGGGGTGGAATGGCATGATCTGGACATGGGCGATCAGGATTAGAAGGGGGGACGGAGGAGGATATCGCACACCAGAGAACGGATGAGGAGCAGGGTGTGGCAGAGCAGGAGCAGGGCGGCGGCGGAGGAGGGAGCAGGTGAGAACAACACAAAATACTCCAGATTTCGTAATAAAAGGGAGGGGGTCTCATTTCGGGGGGGGTCTCTTCCAGGCCATCTTGGAGGGCCGGGGGGGGTCTGGGGACGACGTTTTGGAGGGTTCTCCCACGGGGGGGGGGTCTGAAATGGCTTGTCTTGGCGGGTCCAGACCCCCTCCCTTTTATTACGAAATCTGGAGTATCGTACATTGAATACCATACGTCAAAGGAAGTGGTGGGGGGCCGTTGAGGGTGGAGGCTGGATGGGGCCAGGAGGGACAGGAGGGAGCTGTCGAGGGCTTGCAGAGCCCGGAGGAGTTCGCTGGGTCGCCCTACCTGCAGTCGCGCATCCAGGCGGCGCATTCGGTTCTGCTCGACGAGGTGGCCAGGAGTCCTCCCAAGGCCCGCCCTGCTTCGAGGACCGAGATCGAAGGGGTCGAGGATCGAGGGGGAGGGAGGGAAGAGGGAGGTCCGAGGATGGGGAGGAACAGGGGAGGAACGGGGGCCGATACCGCTACTCGTCCTGGAGATACTTCGTCGTTACGGCTTCCTATCATCTCCGACATTTCGGTCAGAGCGCCTTCCTGAAGAGGTTGGGGGAAGAGCGGTATGGTATCTGTTTGCCCCCAACTGGAGGAAGGGGCGATGGTCGGAATGATGAGGGAGGCATTCGAGGGTCGAGAGCTCATGTGGGACGGGTTTGATTGTCCGTGCTGGGCCCCCCTGGTCGCTTCTCTCTCGTGGGAAGGAGGGGCAAGGCTGAGGGCCGGAAGCTCCGGTGTGAACGGCCACCTTTTTCTTACGTCGGGCGGTCCAGTGAAGATCGACGTCGAATCGATGCGGGTTCAGCGCGTTTCGACCGGGTTCTTAGATTTGACGTCGATTCGACGCGGGTTCAGCGCTGTTTGAACGTTCGACGGGCTCAGCGCGGAAGGCAGCGGCGCGAATGGACACAGAAGGCCCCCCGATGATGCAGCGTAACGGGCCATCGGCGGGTCACAGGCGGGTTAAGGACAATGCACCGATGCCGCTAATTTTCCCTCGTCGCCCCAGCTGGATTTGCGTCGAATTGTTGGTCAGAACGCACCCTTGGAGGGGTCAGGTTAGGACAGTCAAAAGACGCTGCGATGAGAGCCTCTTTGTGGCTCTGGAGGTGCTCGGGGGGAGCAATACATGTATCCAGGGGCGCCGACGATCCATGTCTTCGGCGAGGCTCCCCGGCGAATACGTGTAATGCCCGCCCCTGGGCTATTAGCCCTCATCGTCGCCGCCGAGTCCTGGGGTCTCAGGGTTGGGTTTCGTGTGGAAGAGTTCTTGTGGACTGGCCTCCACGGCATGGTGGCACGACGACTGCACCGGTATCGGTAGTTTGTTGTTCCCCCTAGGAGGGGGGAATGGGGCATGCGCACGCAGTGCTTTCCCAGCCCCAGCGCAAAAGTCAGCCCCGACGCTGGTGCCGAGGTCTTGCAAAGCGGCGCGGGCGGGTCGCGGGATGAGCGGCGGGTGGATCGAAAGCGGGTCGCGGGCGGTGCGGGTCGCGAGTGGGTCGTGGAGCGGGTCCCGAATGGGTCGTGGGACGGCGACGACAGCAGAAAGAAAGACATCAACGGTAATTTGAGGGAGTTTCTGTGGAACTCACGTCATCCTCACCCCCGGCGCGAAGAGCACGAGTCCAGAGCGGCCTCCGGCACCGTTTCCGGACAGATCCGGTGGATCCGCTGGATCCGCTGGATCCGGTGACGAATCCCAAACCGGCGCCCTCGCTTGAGACATCCTCACAAAACCGGCCCCGGGGGAGGTGCCCAGAGGAGCCCAGAGCGGCCTCCGGCACCGTTTCCGGACAGATCCGGTGGATCCGCTGGATCCGCTGGATCCGGTGACGAATCCCAAACCGGCGCCCTCGCTTGAGACATCCTCACAAAACCGGCCCCGGGGGAGGTGCCCAGAGGAGCCCAGAGCGGCCTCCGGCACCGTTTCCGGACAGATCCGCTGGATCCGCTGGATCCGCTGGATCCGGTGACGAATCCCAAACCGGCGCCCTCGCTTGAGACATCCTCACAAAACCGGCCCCGGGGGAGGTGCCCAGAGGAGCCCAGAGCGGCCTCCGGCACCGTTTCCGGACAGAGATCCGCTGGCCTCCGGCACCGTTTCCGGCATAAGGATCCGCTGGATCCGCTGGATCCGGTGACGAATCCCAAACCGGCGCCCTCGCTTGAGACATCCTCACAAAACCGGCCCCGGGGGAGGTGCCCAGAGGAGCCCAGAGCGGCCTCCGGCACCGTTTCCGGACAGATCCGGTGGATCCGCTGGATCCGCTGGATCCGGTGACGAATCCCAAACCGGCGCCCTCGCTTGAGACATCCTCACAAAACCGGCCCCGGGGGAGGTGCCCAGAGGAGCCCAGAGCGGCCTCCGGCACCGTTTCCGGACAGATCCCGGATCCTCCGACGCAAACCGGCGCCCTCGCGCTTGATCCGCTGGATCCGCTGGATCCGGTGACGAATCCCAAACCGGCGCCCTCGCTTGAGACATCCTCACAAAACCGGCCCCGGGGGAGGTGCCCAGAGGAGCCCAGAGCGGCCTCCGGCACCGTTTCCGGACAGATCCGCTGGATCCGCTGGATCCGCTGGATCCGGTGACGAATCCCAAACCGGCGCCCTCGCTTGAGACATCCTCACAAAACCGGCCCCGGGGGAGGTGCCCAGAGGAGCCCAGAGCGGCCTCCGGCACCGTTTCCGGACAGAGATCCGCTGGATCCGCTGGATCCGGTGACGAATCCCAAACCGGCGCCCTCGCTTGAGACATCCTCACAAAACCGGCCCCGGGGGAGGTGCCCAGAGGAGCCCAGAGCGGCCTCCGGCACCGTTTCCGGACAGATCCCGGATCCGCTGGATCCGGTGACGAATCCCAAACCGGCGCCCTCGCTTGAGACATCCTCACAAAACCGGCCCCGGGGGAGGTGCCCAGAGGAGCCCAGAGCGGCATCCGGCACCGTTTCCGGACAGATCCGGACAGATCCGGTGGATCCGCGCCCCGGGGGAGGTGCCCAGAGGAGGAATGAGGAGGAGGAGGAGGAGGAGGAGGAGGAGGAGGAGGAGGAGGAGGAGGAGGAGGAGGAGGAGAAGATGATGGAGCTGCGGGGTGGAGGAGGACAGACGGAGGCAAGAGAAGGATGGAGGAGGAGGAGGAGGAGGAGGAGGAGGAGGAGGAGGAACCTCATCACCCTCGCCAACAAGCGCACGCACCTTCTTCTATATACAGAAACTCCCGATCAACCGCAGAGCGGCCGGCTAGTAGTCAGTAGTCCATGTCGCGGAGCGCCGCTTCTGCCACGCAGCCAGGGACAGTGCAAGACCGTGTAGTGGTGTCCGCGTGAGCTACACAGCAGGGAGAGGCTAGGCGCACCACGCATGCAGCATGCACCCTGAAAGCGTATGCATCCACGCGCACCACCCAACCCAGTTGCACGCAGTTGCCTGCGCCCTACGCGCACATGTGCGCCAAGTGCGCACGCATGCGTGCAAAACGTGCACACACGCGCGCACACCCGCGCGAGGGTTCCACCGTGGGCCCCTCCTGTCCACTCCTCCCCACGCCCCCCCCCTTCGCCACGGCAGGCAGACGACAGCAAGGTGGAGTGATCCCCGAGCGGGCGGGCCCACCCCGGACCCCGCGCCTCCTTTCCAGCAGCGTCCTCTCGCGCGCTGTCGTCAGGGAAGGGAGGCCGGCCTCCCTGCTCGCTCCCGCTCGGGAGCCTGCGCCCGGGCGGCCCCGGTCCACAGCCCTTCTCCTCCACGGCCGCTCCTCCGTCCTCCTCCCGCCTCCCTCCTCCGAGGCGCAAGTCGTGGCGTGAGCATAAAAACGTTCGAATGGCCGCGCGCTTTTCGTGGACCTGCGCCGGGCCAGACACCTCCTGACGGCGCCTCCCGCGCTGCCCCCTGGCGCTGCTCCGCTCGCCGCGTAGGGGGGGAGTCCGGCGCCAGTTCAAGCCGTCCGCGCGGCCCCGCAGCAGTTCCGCGAACGTTTCATGTTCGCATTGCCAGTATGATTGTCCGCCTCGCCCCCAAACAGCTTTCACTTGGTGGGCGTTGTCGTTATTCATTGCTTTGCCGATCGGCGCGGCCCTCGCAC